TTTATAATTAGAATTTATCTATTCAGTATTTAATACTAACTATTTTTAAAAGGTGAATTTAATAGTCAATGGTTTTATGGACGTGCGCTTGGTGAAAGAACATTAAGGGACTATTTTCGGGTAATATGTGAAGCCACTGATATTGAAATTGGCAGTCATAGTATATCCAACCATTTGGGAAGAAAAACCGCAGTTCAGGTATTAAAGGAGCTTGGATATTCGGATTCCGTGGTTATGTCAATCACGAGACATAAATCACAAAAAGGCTTATCTGCATATGAACAACCAAAATCAATTATGCAGCACGAAGACCTTGGTGGATTTTTTGATGCTCTTATGAAGAATAAAAAAACATCAACCAAAGGTATTTATTTAATTGCTAATTTTAATTTGATTTTTTTTTTTTTTATTAATTGATAACTGAAAAACAAGTAACAGATTACATAGTAAAAGAATCTCTTAGTCTAAGTGGTGATTTTGTAATGGCAAGTTTTTACTTTAAACGGACCAGTTCACTTACATCACTTGCAAATGGCATGAAAAGTCTTGAATTTGATGTAAACGATAAATTGAATGAAAATGAAGGATCGCCACAAGCTAGTGAAAGATCTCCGCATACTACTCATAATCCTTCACGAGAAGCCTTGGTTGAATATGAACAAAATGGTCATCAAGAAAGTACCCAAAAAAGTCAAGAGTATAATAACTCTAAAGAAAATCGAAATCCTCAAAATAAAGATTTTATTGAGAAATTTCTTATGGGAAATACTTTTAATAATTGCAGTTTTCATTTTTAATTGACTATAATTGGATAAAATAACAGTATTCATAGAATTAATGCATTAGTAATACAATGTTGTAATTTGAGTACTTTTCGTTGCTTATATAAATTTAAATAATTTGTTCTGGCCCAATCTGAGTAAATTTTTGTTAAAATTATTGATTGCGTCGATCATGATATTTGCTCAAAAATTGGATATTCGGTATTATGTTATAATTGCTTAAAAAATATCAAGGCATTTTTGGGCCATGATCATATGAGTTTGCCGGATAAGTATACAATACTTATTGTTTACCTGATAACGTGATATATATTCTATTGGTTTATTAAAATAAACAAGTAACTAATTTATATATTTTTTCAGGGCTGAAAGACAAAGCTTAGCCAGTACCAATAGAAGAGCAGTTGATAAAAAACAGAGCAAGCGTCCTGATAGTGTTCTGATATTATGCTTATAGATGAGAAGCTATATAAACTTCTATTCACTGAATGTTCTCGACTGATTTGTAGTAATAATAAGAAAAATGAGGATGAAGCAAAATTATGGCGAGAAATGAATGACGATGTTCACAAAACCTGTAAGCCCGATAAAGATGAATTTGGGATCATCAGTATACAAATTGCGGGGGATGAAATGCGTTTAAATATTTTCATTAGAGATAGAGATGACATTTATTGGCTTTATCATTTATGTTTTGTTAAAATTCGGTAAGGCCTAGAGATGGGCACCATGTGCATAAATGCATGCATGCATGAGTGCATGCACATGATTTATACAATTTTATACTAATATGCCCATACAAGATTAATATAACTATCTCTTTTATAGATTAAATATTTTTTTTAACTTTGAACAAAGATATCTCAGCAACTACAAAGCTAAATTTGATAAACTTTTTTTTATTTGAATTTTATAAATTCATAGAATTCAAATAAAAAAAAATTTATTAAAATTGACTTAGTAGTTGCTAAAATATCTTTGTTCAAGGGGGTGTGGCGCCTTAGTGAAGTGGTCTAGTTGTCACCCTCTCCAAATGGTAATGGTATATTCCTCAAGGTTCAAATCC